TTCATTGCTTTTTGGGAACGGGATTTGTCGAGCTCCTTTCTCTGTTCTGGAAGTCCCTCTCCTACCCCCTGCTGGTAATGTAGTGCTCCATGCTCTGGATGCCCCACTATTTACTTGTCAGTCCCCAGATGGTGGATACGTAGGCTGCTATACGTTTTCCCCAGCCAGCCGTTCCGTGCTGGGCATACTTGCTCACGCCTCCTCGGCACGCCTCTGTCCGGCCTCTCCCCTACTCCTGGGGGTCAGAGCAGCCTGTGCCTCTCCCTCACCCTGAAACTCCATTTACTCAGGGAAGACGCTGATCAAGGTGGCAGAAGCTGAAAAGCGCCTGGGAGCCGCGGAGAGGGATTTCATCCACACAGCCTCCATCAACTTCCTCACGCCTCTGCGCAACTTCCTGGAAGGGGACTGGAAAACAATTTCGGTGAGAGACCTGGGGCCACTCTGCTTCCTGGAAGCCGTGGCTTCCTTCTCCTCAGAGCTGCTGGGCATAGGCTCTCCTCCCGTGTCGGGAAGTCGGCACTCCTGGACCTCCTCAGACGTGGCTCCTGTGGGCTGAGTGCCATAGTGGGTGACCTCCCCTGTCTGGGCCTCAGTTTCCCCGTGTGGACCAGATGGCCCAGTGGGATCTCCCAAGGCTGCCCGGGGTCTCACTCTTCCCTTTCCCCTGCCCCACAGAAGGAGAGACGTCTTCTCCAAAACCGCCGTCTGGACCTGGATGCCTGCAAAGCGCGGCTGAAGAAAGCCAAGGCCGCAGAAGCCAAAGCCACGGTAGGTGTCCCTGCTGGTCTCCTGCCCCTGCCCAGCTCTGTTTGGAGCCAGGGAGGGTAAAGGGACCTGATGTTTGGCATGACCTTTCTTCCCTGTCCCTGCCTGGAGAGGCCTGGCTCGGGGGGCGCTGGTCCTGGCTGACCGCTTTGGGTCACGCCTCTCTGCCCCTACAAGGGAACCCTGGCGGCCCAGAGCTCTGGGTCCCAGGGCAGACATTTACGGGGTGGGCTGAGGGCATGCCACAGCCTCCCCAGACAGACAACCAGTTGGGAGTTTCTCGCATGGCCCTGCCCTGCCCTCCCCGGATGCTCGGCTCTGTCCCCCGGCTCTGCCCGGGCATGGCTCCCCCTTACTAACTCCCCTGCCCGCTGCTCCAGTGCTGGTCCGGGGGTGCCCTGATGGTGTGAACCCCGGAGCTAGACCACCCACCTTCTCAGGGCCACCTTCTCAGAGGCATGACCGAGGACCCTTTCAGGTTAGCCCCATGACATGGGGTTGGGCCGGGACCTCACGGTTCTCTGTTTACTCTCGGCTCACTGAGGCCTGCCCAGCCTGGTCAGGCCAGTGGACGCAGCGTGGCGCAGTTTGGCCAGGGCAAGGCCAGGGTGGGGAGAGTGGGCCTGAGGGCGAGCATACTCCTGGCATGCCGGGCTACTTGGGGGTACGGGGGCCTAGAGGCCTCCTTGCACTCTGAGGAGGGAACTCCCAGGTCCAGGGAAGGCCGGGGGTACCACCACCTGTGCCTGCCCAGCTCTCAGCTGCCCATGAGGGTTTTCTAGCCCCAAACCCTCCTTGCGTTCCCTTCCCACAGTGTGGCCACTGGGGACCATGGAGCCCGGGCCTGCACTGCCTCTGGGGACAGCCAAGGGCAGGGTCTCACTCATCCAGGTGTGTGGGGCCAGATCAGAGGCAGGTCTCAGCCACTGGAGTCCCGCCGTGGTTGGGTAGGATGACGTGTGGCCACAAGGTTGACCTCTCTAAGTCACCTGGACAGGACAGTCTCCCCATCACCCAGGGCTAGACCGTCTCTCTGGAGTACCTTGGCCGGAACAAGCTCATCCTCCATCAGTCAGGCCAGGGGAGCCTTTCCTTAGTCACTGGAGCGGCAGGACCCCTTCTCCAGTTGTCCGGCCTGGACAACCTCCAGCCTTTGGGTCAGACCAGGATACCCTCCGCAGAGCTAGGCCCTGGGCAGCCCAGCTATGGCGAGCGTCCCAGAGGACTGGAGGCTGGCAGGTCACACCCTCACCCCACGCCCTAAACACACACACACACACACACACACACACACACACA